GCTGATCAGGCTGAACCCAGAGGACCGGGAGTCCCCGCTGCCATCTATAAATCAAGACACAAGCTGTGAAGGCAGCAGAAACAGTTCGGGGATAATTTTTCCTTTACATCTTGGGGGGTTCGAGACAACTGATTGGGGAGATGGCATGGCAGTGACATGAATCAAGCCGTGCTATCTCCTGCACTACGGATGCTCCTCCACGTAGCATGTGGCTGCCTCCGGATGAACCCAGGTGAAGTTGAAAGTAAGAATCTAACCCACTGAACATGGGAGCCAGGCCTAGCCCATCTGACACGTGCTCCGAACACTTCTTAGCCTTTGCCTGGCAGAGTCACCTAACACACTGGCTACACTGCCAGTGGCCTGGTTGACACTCCTGATCACAGGGCCGCCCGGGAGTTAAGCTCAAGGCCGGTGTCCAGCATCATGAGAAAGCACCCTATTGCCCATTGCTCACCTGGGAGAAGATCAACATTCAAAACCCAAAGCATGTTTCATACGCGGTGCATGTCCTTTTGGAACCATCGTAAATTCCAGAAATATTGTGTCAGGACTTGAGTCTAAAACTTGAACCTGACTGTGTCCAGCAACAACAGTGGATGCTGATCGGATCCTTACTCTGAGCCACACTGGGCGGGCGAGCACTTAACCTATAGTGTCTTACTAGGCACAACACTTTATTTGCAAACTCTATCATTGCTACCATCATTTTACTGATGATGACACTGCAGATTAGAAAGGTTAAGCCCTAGCTGGTATGGCTCAGTGGATAGAGCATCGGTCCAAGGACTGAAGGGTCCGGATTTGATTTCGGTCAAGGACAGGTACTTTAGTTGCAGGCTCGATCCCCAGGGCCCATGCGGGAGGCAACCAATTGATATTTCTCCTTTCTGTCTCTCGCCCTCCTATCCACTCTCTCTAAAAGTAATCAGTGGAAAAATATACTAGGGTGAGGATTACCGAAAAATAAAATAAAATAACTTTAACAAAGAAAGGTTAAGAATCGCGCCCCCCCCCTTTTTAATTTTTTTTTAATTTTATTGATTTCCCACAGAGTGGAAGGGAGAGGGATAGAGAACTAGAAATGTCGATGAGAGAGAAACATCGACCAGCTGCCTCCTGTACACCCCCTACCGGGGATGTGCCAGCAACCAAGGTACATGCCCTTGACCAGAATCGAACCTGGGACCCTTCAGTCCACAGACCGACACTCTATCCACTGAGCCAAACTGGTTTCGGCTCCCTCCACACCCCTGACTTTCTTTAAGGCAAAGTATAAATGCTCATTTTCCCCCCATGATACAGCTAAATTGGTCCTCCATACTGTGCATAAAGGGGTGTTTTGCTCTCATTTGCAAGAATCCAAAAATAAAAATTAATAATTGAGTTGCCAAGGTGAAACCCATCACAGCAATAAACAGCAAAACAGCCTTCATCCTTTGATCAGTGAATTCTCTACCTAGGTAAAATAATTACTGCTTTCATACACTGTCTCTGCCACCGACAGGGAGAAAACTGAACGCGCAGGCCCTGCAGTCATCTTTAAGTAACAAAGGACAAGGATCAACATGAAAATAAATCTTGGCCGGATTTATGGGTGCACGTTGAGGAGGCCTTGTTTTCCCCCTTCAAATACACGATAACTGCAAAAAAATGAAAGGCGACTGTGGAGGCCAGATAGCTCATAACAGATGGGCTTTCTCTGACATACAGTATGGGGGGATGCCGCAAACATCATGCAGGCCCATCACTCCTGAGGCTTACCAGCCGAGGAGAATTCTTCAGGATGCGGAATGGTTGGAACCACTCAGATTTGAAGAAACTGTCATTTTTTAAGTGTACTTCTTGGGATGTTGTTATACTGCGGTCTTCTGTTGTTTCTACACACATCTGTTTCATGGCTTCAACTATAATATTATTTCCCCCCCCCAAAAAAAAAAATTTCTAATCATAAAATCAAATGTCATTCATTCAGATACTATTCTGGTGCTGGCTCACGAGAAGGCATGCTAGGATCTGGTAAGAATTTAATTTATGCCATATAATGTAACTGGAATTGGTCACCCAAGGGGCCATCACTTCCCTTTTGCAACCCAGGTCTTTAGCAGAAATGGTGATCAAGCCCTAACCGTTTAGCTCAGTGGATAGAGCTTCAGCATGGGGACTGACGGGTCCCAGGTTCAATTCCGATCAAGGGCAAGTTACCTCAGTTGCAGGCTACTCCCCAGCCTGAGCTCTGGCCCGGGGCTCCTGCAGGAGGCAACCAATCCATGTGTTTCTCTTACATCAACATTCTTATCTTTCCCTCTCTCTAAAAATCAATGGGAAAATATCATCCAGTGAGGATTAACAACAACAACAACAAAAGGAAATGGCAATCAATAAAGGGTTATTATTTTTAAAGAAGGTCTCATTTTTCTATAAATCTCCCTTCGGGGGAAAAAAAAATTCATTTCCCTCAGGCAGGCGTTATCTAAGATGCATTTGGCTAGTTGACTCAAGAAAATACCTGCTCAAGGAAAGAAAGTCCCCATCAAAGCTGCTGAAACCTGATTTCATTTCAGATTTGAGAACTAATGTTGTTGTTTTTTTTTTTTTGTTTAAATAGATTGTGTCTGTCAATTTCCAGACCCGCTGAGCCACCAGCCTGCGTGGACCGCCGTGGTCAACACGGGGGTTGTAGCAGCAAATTTTATTAGGGGCTGGTAATTGAATTGAACAGGTTTACATTTGAATAGATTTACTACATCCTGATCCCTGACACACTGCCTGGGACTCAACTCCCTCTCCATCCATAAAGACACACTTAAGACTGGCTCATTCTCTCCAGGCGGAGCAGGCCGGTCTGGAGCCGAGGCGATGGCCACACGGAATTGTGCATTTATATGCTGGAGGGAAGGCCGTTTGTCGCTGCATATTTTTTTCAATTGCAAAAATAAAAGCATGTTCCATATTTGCTCATCACCATTCCATCCTTTCTCTTTCGGGGAGGGGACTAAGAGAACTGGTATTTGCCCATCAAAGGAGGCATAAGGGGGTAGAGGAAAAATGAATTATTACATGAGTATATCAGCCACAGCAGCAATTTCCTTGAAAACAGACCCTCTCTATAGGCTGGATCAGAGCATGGGAAGAGGCGTGGACATTAGGTAAGCACCATACCCATTGCCTATCACCAACAACTTTTAATTAGACACTGTTCACAACTCTTGAGTCGCTTTCAACACCTTTCAAGATGTCTCCTGCTTAGAAACCAGAAGAGGGTAAAAGTATCAGGGGAAAACATTGTTTTCTACTTCCTCTTAAACCTGGAAGGACACACGGTCACGTAAACTACAGCAGTAAGATCAAACTGATCAGAACATTTTTATCCAGCTGGAAATGGAGACATATCCCAGCATTCTCCAGATTTTGAAAATGAAACCAGTATCTAGGACACATCAACGCAAATGTTGTTGACTCATGTATTACTTTCATAACACGTTTAAAAATTGACTTGCTCTTTGAAAAATAATGACTTCTCAGCTCCCGACTCTTCATGAAGCTTTTTTTTGTTCCTATCAAGGAAGGAGTTCTCAGTGGACAAGCCACAGGGAAGCAGGGCGTGATTTCCACACCCCCATCTATGATCTGATTCACTCATTGTCTTATCACAATGACACACCACCTATGATCTGATCCACTCATTGTCCTATCACACCCCTCACGGTAAACATTTTGGACTAAGAACAAACCAGGAAAAGGGAAGCTGAGTGACGCTCTGGTTAGTTCTTGGGGAACACGCTTGGATCTTTAAATGTGGAGGATAAAAAGCCAGTGGTCACCATTAAAGACACAACACACAGAGCCAACCCTAAGGAGGCAGAGTCTATGTCTTCACAGAAGCTGTATTTAAATATTTACTTTACCTCATTGTCTCTCAAATATCAATGGCCACGCTTTTTTTTTTTTATTCCTTTATAAAGTTATTGTATTTAGTTTAAATCCTGGCAAATTTTCTGAAGAAAAGGAGATAGTATAACTCAAAGGCAACATGTAACATGCACATTTATAAAGGCACCCATATGCACAAAGATGCATTAAACACACACGCACACACACACACACACACACACACACACACACAAAGAGAGCTAAATCTAGGGTTTTCAAATAAAATAAAATAAAACAAATTTTCTCTGAGCTAGAATGTTAGTTTCACAGACATGCTGAGACACACAAATATTTCAGGACCTCTGATATGGGCGGGAGCTGAGAGAATTCTAGAATCTGACCATTTGCTTCCAGTTCCTGGCTCTGTGAGCTTAGTCAGTGCGTTCAGCACAGAGTACACACGCATGATTATCATCTTGTGTTTGTTGCTATTATCCCCAACTGAGAGCCGCAATGTTAATGTCATGGCTGCAAGTTCTTTCATAATGGAAAATCAATCCAAAAGATAAGACTGGAAGACAATAAACCATGCTTTAAATCTAAGATTAATTAAGCAAGAAGAACATGGAAGCTACATGAAATGATAGATATGTTAATTAGCGACATGGTAGCAATTATTTTACAAAATACATGTATATCAAAAACAGCAACTTAGGCACATTAAATATACACTCTGTCAATCCTAGCTCAATAATGATGGGAAAAATCTCTCTGTGAACTTGATAAAGAGAAGAAATGCAGGAAGACAAAGAGTCGCCTCCTGGTTGCTCTCCATCTTCCACATTCTGTAAATTATAAGGATGAAGGAAACCAGAATTGCCCAGACCTACCTGGTGGGTTGAGCCAAACAACAGGTACACCCCGCCTTGCGGATGTCAGCAGCTAGCCACGAGGTATCAGAGAGGTCACATAAAGAAGAGGCATTCCGACCTCAGATCCCCAGATCCGGGGCACTTACTGTGACCTCATCTTTCCCTGGATTCTCTCGCATTGTGACAATTTCTTGTGTCCCCTCCCCACCTGCCATTCCCAGCCTGAAGCGCAGGGCTACCGCCCAGGGGCCTTACCTTCCTTCAGCATGCCCACTTTCAGACACTTCATGAAGCGGCAAGCTTGGCAGGACTTACGCCGGCGCTTTGTGATCTCGCATTCGTTTGTAGCAGGACAGCTGTATTCTATGTTACCTGAAACACAGGGCCAGTGGGAAACAAGCCATCAGATGGGAAAAGATTGATCCAGGAAATGTGAGCATCTCGAAGGCAGTGGATGACTGCTGTCCCCTTCCCGCAGAATTATTAAATGACAGGCACGGGGCTGTGACAAGTGTCATGAGGCTGGATGCTCTGGGACAACGGCTGAAGACACATTGAACACCGAGAAGATATCTGGTGAAGCTCTTCTCGGACTTCTGTTCATAATGAGCCTTTCACTTGGTGATTAGCTTACCCGGACCAAGACCCTGACCCGGTCTCCCGGGATCTCAGGATCCAAAGACATTTTGAAGCAGATTATTTCTTTAAGACCTCAAGCATCACAACTATCTTCATGATTTCTCTTATTTTATTAAAAAATTTTAATGCTTCCAAATAAACTGATGAACAAAAACAGATCCAGAGACGGAGAAGCATCAATAAAACCATCAAACCTCAGAGGCAGGGGAGATTGGAGGTAAGGGGGAGAGATCAAACAAAGAACTTGTATGCATGCATAGAAGCCTAACCAATGGACACAGACACCAAGGGGTGAGGGTATGAGTGTGTGTGTGTGTGTGTGTGTGTGTTAATCAATAAAGAAAAAAATTTAATGCTGACACCATTGCAGTTGTTGCCTTTTTCCCACCCTTTGCCCACCTTCATCCACCCATCCTTTTCTCCACCTTCCTAGGCCTTCACCAAACTATGAGTGTCCGTGGGGCATGCATCCATGATCTTTAGCTGAGCCTGGGTTTCTTTGGGTGACTACTGTTGGATTGCATCAGGCATATTGTCTTTTTTTAAAATATGTTTTTCTTAATTTTTAGAAGGGAGAGGGAGAGAGAGAGAAACATCATTGATCAGCTGCCCCCTGCACACTCCCTACTGGGGATGGAGCCGCAACTCAGCTAAGTGTCCTGAGCACAAATGGAATTGACAACCTCTTACTTCCTGGGCTGACACGCAACCACTGAGCAACATCGGCCAGGCAGGCATATTGCCTTTTTGACATAGACTTCATTGAGGACAATAACCATCAGATTCATTTGGGACTTTGTGGGAAGATCCTACAGGGAAGCCATGCCTGAGGTTCCCTGATTCTTGCTAAACCTGAACCACAGTCTCACAAAACAACTCAATGCTTGGTCAATGCTTCGCTATTGGTAAGCAATGATCCTCATCTTCATCATCACCATCCTTATCACCCTTGTTACACCGCTTGCAGAAGGAGATACAAACCCGCCAGCCCCATGAAAGTGCGATGGGTAAGAATAAACTGAGGTGAAATTGTGTTTTATCATCCGAGTTTACGTTTAGAGGTAGCACTGACACATTTGAAACGGTATGTTGCCAGAAGAAGATCCGAACTTCATCTGGCATTGGCGTGTGGGAGGCGCCCTGGGCCTGCCTCCAGCTTTGCAAAGATGCTGCCTTTAGCATCTCTGCCCACCAGCTCTGTCCCAATGCCCTGGAAGGTCTCCCGCTTCCTCCTAACCCTTTCCCCTGGTGATTAAGTGCATTAGTATCTTAATGAAAATGCATCCTGTTTATTGCCCTCTTGGGAAGGAGGAGGTCATCACACCAAATGCATAAATTGTCATCAGAGACGGTCTGAGCATAATTGCAATTTCGCTGCTCCGTGGCTGCTGTGCCCAGGGTCCGTCTGAGTCCCCTGAAAGGAGGCCCGGAGACTGGTAATTAGCATAGAGGCTGCCTGGGACCGCCGCATTGATGAAATATTTCAGAGTTAATCACACTTTGTCAACACTGATTTATATTGACTACCTTTCTCCAGACTGATGCCTCCTCAGTAAATATCACATTAGTGGATTGCAAGGTGGTGCAGACTCAAAATCCTCAGCTACCGCTAATTCCATAGGAAGGAAGACCTCGCCACTTATAACTACTGGAAACTGGCTCAGTACACATGATTTAAAAAAGGGAATAAGCTTGAGATAAGCCCATCCAAATAGTTTGGCTAACTTAGGGTTCCAATCTGGGATATTTATAATAATAAACGCAACTACTTTTTAACAGAAGAGGTTAAATAATAAGAGTTATACTCATTGTGTCCACAGAAGCACATCCATCACCTTCTTTGAAGTCATAGATAACCAAGTCAAAGCAACCAGACCGTCTGGGTCATGTCTGAGAATAAAGGGACTGAGAATATGAACTGGAGATAAACCATTTTTCAGTGCAGAGTTTCTTTAACCATCACCGAAAATTTATTTGACATCAAGAGAGTGTTGCTAGTCATTTCCGAGGAGTTACTACCAGAACCTTCCATCTACATGGCCCTCCCTATCCTTATTTGAAAGGAAACCCATAGCCAGTGTGGCTCAGTTGGTTGAGCATTGACTCATGCACCAGGAGGTTGCTGGTTGATTCCCGGTCAGGGCAAATGCCCAGGCTATGGGCTCAATCCCCAAAGAGCGGACAGAAGGCAGCCAGCAGCCAATCAATGATTCTCTCTCATCACTGATGCTTCCTATCGCTCTCCTTCTCCCTTCCTCTCTGAAATCAATAAAAACATTTAAAAATAAAATAAATAAAAAGAAACCCAGGAAGACAATGACTAGTGAGAGAGAAAATTAAAAAAAAAAAAAAAAAAGTTTTCCAACCAGCATTTCTTCCATTTCCTATGCCTAAGTCAGGGTGAAGACAAATTTGGCTCATAGGCCAGTATGCAGGTGTGAGCACCAGGCCCACTCTCAATCCAGTGCTGGCAACTTCTCCTGGGATGATCCAACACCAGCTCCCCACCCCCACTCTCCAAAGAATCACCTTTCCTTTCAACCAGTTCCTCTTCCGCTTGGAAAAGTATACCCTCATCCTTCACAATAGCAGACTTCCGGCCGGAACTGAAATCGGGCCTGTGTGAGCTCACACCTGGACTATGGCAGCTAGCTATCTGCGAGCTGGGCACCATGCCTCCATCCAGTCCCCAGCTAATCCAGGCCGCATGCCTCCATTCCATGCCTCTTCCGATGACTGCTTTGATCAGTCACCACCCTACTTTCTTTTTCAAAGTCCACAGATTCCTAGGGTCTCTGAGATTAAATATACGACGTTAGACTGGCTAACGAAGCCCCTGCCGATGGGATGCTCTTGGGCTTTCCCGGGAATATGCCATGATCACCTCACATGAACTTAGTGATGCAGCCACTGAGATTGATTCTTCTTGGCTGTGTCCTTCAGGCTTCCTTCTGAGAATGATCTATCTGTGCCCCTCTTTTCTTAACATGACTTCCAAGTCTCAATGTTAAACTCCAATCCCAGCCAAATCGTTCATGAGAATGGCTCAGCCCAGCCTAGCAGAAAATGATTTCTTGGTTCTCATATCTCTTTAGGTACCTGTGTCACAGCAAGACATGCCATATTCTGTTACACCTTTTCCCATGCATTTTACTCACTCCAGGGTAAGGTCCTGGGGGCAAGGACTCTCTCTTGGGCAGCATAGAAATCCTATATAATAAAAGCGTAGTATGCAAATTGTCCCCTTGACCAGTAGGTCCTTCGGGAGTTCAACCAGGGAGCAGGGCCAGCCCGGGGAAGGGAGTGAGGCCCAGGCTGGCAACCTGCAGCTGGTAGGGACCCTACCAGTGCACCAATTTCCTGCACTGGGCCTCCAATCTTCCATGAAAAGCTAGTACATAAGCAAACTAATACTCTTAGAACAACTTAATATTTTCATGAAATCTCAAGGTCATTTTGATGAACAGCAATTACTGTGTTGTAATACAGTCAAGTCCACAAAGTCAACTGAGTGGGCTATCCAATTAGGAAGCAATTTTAAGGACACTAGGAAAAACCGTCCTCTAAATCAGAAAAAAGTAGAGGAAAACTGATTTAATTATCAAAACCTTAAAAAGTAGCTTTGGCAAAGACAGAAATGTAGAGCAAAACAGGGAGGAAATATTGTCAAGAAATGAAAAACAACAGAATATAAAAACATCTGGGGAGGAAAAGGTAAAAAAGGAAGAATGTAAGAAAGAGGCTTTAAAGGAAATGAAAATGCATCTTGATATGAATAGAATACAAATAAGATGAAAATATAGAATATAGAGAGAATCCCTTATTTACTTTCTATCTACTTATAATATTTTAAGGTACTGTCAGAATTGTAGCCACATTGAAGAATATAGTTAGGAGTGATTCAACAATAGTAGCTTAATCTATGCATAACTGTGTAAAGAATTTATAATGACTTCAAACAACAGAATAGCCACAAGAGTGTTTGGTGATTGAGCTTCAACCTATGAACCTGGAGGTCACGGTTTGATTTCCGGTCACGTATCTCTGGTTGTGGACTAGATTCCAAGTGTAGGGCATGCAGCGGGCAGGGGACCAATGATTCTCTCTCATCATTGATGTTTTTATCTCTCTGTCCTTCTCCCTTCCTCTCTGAAATCAATACAAATATATTAAAAAGAAAACAGAATTTTACTGTGAATAGATGAAAAAATACAGTGAGGCCCTGATTGTTGTCCAAAACATATAGTTTCAGCTTAAATGCAGAGATATTGTTTACAGTGAAACCAGGTATCCTTCAGCCAAGTGTCCTGTTTCAATAAATGTCTTCACATTCATGGACAATGACCTTGATTTCACTAAGTAACACCTTGGTTTACATCTGGAGAAAAACAAAGCAGCGTCATGCTAAGGAACTTACTTGCTGGAGGGAAACCTCTCTCATGTCTGAGCCCTCCCCATGAGTTGCTAGGTTCCTTGTTGCTGGCTATGATCACCACCCAACCAAGTCTTTGATGCATCTGAGACTCTACAGAGCTGCTGCCCTTGAAAACCCTTGCCTGGTGCTTTTACCACTCAATAAAGAAAGCATTTATCAAAAAAAGAGCGCTGCCCCAAGACCCAGGGTAAGCACGTCCCATCTACATTATTTTGGTAATGGCTCAAAGTCACGGCTCCCGGAAGACCCACGATCTCCACAGGGTCCTTGTTTTCTTTGGTTCATGGAAAGGAAAACA